TCCAATTACCAACCCCCTTTCCCCCCTTCAAACACACTCTCCTCTAAAAGAACCTGATGGAAACAGTAATTAAAAGAAACGTATTTTTTATTAACAACTACACAGGTAGGGGATGACATTGGGACGGGGGCTTGGGTGAGGTGCTTTTGGAGTGAAGGAAAGGACTTATCAAAACTTTGGGAATGAGAGCCGTCTGGTACTTGAGCAGTCTGCAGGGGTGGAGTGACTGTTTTCACGGCCCCTGCCGCCCCTCCTTCTTGGGACTTTGGGTGAGGGGGGGATGGGACTTTGTGGCGGGGGAGGGCGGTTACAGATAGACTGCAGAGGGGCTCTGTCCTCCTGCCTCCGGTCCTGCAGAACATCTACAAGGCGCCGGAGCGTGTCCGTTTGCTCCCTCATTAGTCCAAGCAGCGTTTGAGTGGCCTGCTGGTCTTCCTGCCGCCACCTGTCCTCCCGTTCGCTGTGTGATCGCTGGTATTGCGACATGTTCTCCCTCCACTGGGTCTGCTGTGCCGCCTCGGCTCGGGAGCAGCCCATAAGTTCCGAGAACATGTCCTCCCGTGTCCTCTTCTTCCTACGCCTAATCTGCGCTAGCCTCTGGGAGTGTGATGCCAGGGTAGGTCGGGAGACAGTCGCAGCTGTGGGATGGGAAAAAGGGAGTGAATTCCTCAGAAAGATAAATTTTTTTGTGAACAAAGAACATAGTCTTTCTCTGTGAACAAGACCATGCACAGCACCTATCACATGCGCACTCAGGACAAGGTCGAATTTTCGGCCTTCGCATTCAGTGCCTGGGGTCTTGCAGTGCAGATCAGACAAGCGGGGCAGGACAGCGGAATTTGTGTAGCAGGCAGACATGGTAAGCCGTAGACTTGTGGCTGCTTAAAACTTTAATAATAGCACTGGCCTCCTTTCACGTTCAAAGCAATGCCAGTCCCTGCTGCCAGCAATCCAGCAAGCATGAACTCTGCCCCTGTCCCACCCCCCTCGCGGCTGTCCCCGGGAAAGATCCCTGTATGCTGCCCCTGTCCCACCTCCACCGCGTGGCTGTAAACCGCTGGTTACACTTATGTAAAGGAACAGGCAATCAGTCCCAATACTAACATTCCCCTAATTTAAAGCAGGTCACCATGAGTGATATCACTCTGATGAGGATTTCGGACACTGAGAAAGACCGCATGCTGCGTGAATGCCAGCAAAAACCAGGGCCATATGCGGCCATGCTGTGCGAGGCACTGATCCCAGAGTACTTGCTGCTAGCCTGGAGCGGAAAAGTTTCCTACCATGGAGGACGCAATAAGGCCGCTCTCCCCAGGTACCTGATGCAAAGGCTTTCAAATTACCTCCAGGAGAGCTTCGTGGAGATGTCCCAGGAGGATTTCTGCTCTATCCCCGGACATATTGACATAATTTTCCAGTAGCTGCACTGGCAAGGACTAAAAAGTAGAGCACCTAGGGCAAAGTAATCATGAAAAATCCATTGTTAATATTCCATTCCTGTTCTGTTCAAAATAAATGTTTACATGTTTAAAACACTTACCGACTGATCCTTCTCCTGATTCAGGGTCACGGTTAACGCCTTGGGAGGGTTGGTAGGGGATCTCCGTGAGGGTGATGAAGAGATCCTGGCTGACAGGGAAATCAGCGTTGTAAGCGCTGTCGACTGCCTTGTCCTCCTCATCTCCTTCCTCATCTTCCCCGTCCGCGAACATCTCTGAGGAAGCGGCCGTCGACAATACCCCATCGTCAGAGTCCACGGTCAGTGGTGGCGGCCACACCTAGAATGGAATGCAGTGCCTCGTAGAAACGGCATGTCTGGGGCTGGGATCCGGAGCATCCGTTTGCCACTTTGGTCTTCTGGTAGCCTTGTCTCAGGTCGCAGCTCCGAAAGCACGGACTCATCGCCCCACACAGCGATCAGATCCAAGACTTCCCGATCAGTCCATGCTGGGGCCCTCTTTCTATTCTGTGATTGCCTGGTCACCTCTGCTGGAGAGCTCTGCATCGTTGCCAGTGCTGCTGAGCTCAACACAATGTCCAAACAGGAAATGAGATTCAAACTGGCCAGACAGGAAAAGGAATTCAAATTTTCCCGGGGCATTTCCTGTGTGGCTGGTCAGAACATCCGAGCTCGGACTGCTGTCCAGAGCGTCAACAGAGTGGTGCACAGTGGGATAGCTCCCGGAGCTATTAGCGTCGAATTCCATCCACACCTACCCTAGTTCGACATGGCCATGTCGAATTTAGCTCTACTCCCCTCGTCGGGGAGGAGTACAGAAATCAATTTAAAGAGACCTCTATGTTGAACTAAATAGCTTCGTTGTGTGGACGGGGGCAGGGTTAATTCGATTTAACGCTACTAAATTCGACATAACCTCCTAGTGTAGACCAGGCCTAATAGAAGTAAGTCCTCTGACTCCACCCCTTTCCCTGCTGCAGGAACCCTCTCTTTGCATTGTGTATGCACCCCCTGCACAGTGAGAACAGAATTTGTCTCTAAATGCCTATTGTTTATTCAATATGTACATTAAGATGCAGATCCTACTCCCTTTGAAAATAAAAAATAAAAAAATTCACACCATCTGATGCTGCAAAGCAACTGTGCCAACACATGTCCTCAGAAATTCTCTCTTTTTAATATATCTGTCCTGAGCAAAGAATGAACCAACAGAGGAAGGAAGTGTAGTGAAAAAAAAATCTCTGAACAGTTTCTTAATCACCCAGCTCATTCATGGCATTTCATGAAATACAACTTTCCAGATTCCCAGAGATATTATTTCATCTTAAAAAAAAACTTACTTATTTTGTAATGTTTGTCTTCTGTGTTTGGAATGCGGTGGGGGGAAAATGCAGAAAAACAAAAAATAAAGGAACCCAACATTAATGCCTGTTGCAATTCTATAACTACATGAACATTACATGGCTGCATGCCAAGTAGAGGTGGCTGGCCAGGGTAAAATAGGGTAGAACGTAAGAACAGAAGTGACCGCAGAAGAGGAGGAAGTTTCAGGGTTTGGAGAGGACACTCTCCTACCTGGTAGCTTCTTGGTGCAATGTAAATTCAACAACAAAGACCATAAAATGACTTTAAAAACTAGTTAATCCCCAGATGGATGCTACTTGGAGACTGTATAATTTAGATAATTAAGGTTCAGGGAGGATGTTGGGTTTCTGGCCCTCTGAGAGGCAGAGCCAGATCACAGCTCTTGCATGGGGTGAGTGCTTAATGGCTGTACGTACCCCCATCTAAAGTCTCCTTATTCTCCCCCAGCTGCACTCCCAACGTGATCTGACTATCCCTATGACCTGATCCCAAAGGACAGAACCCAGGAATGTGGAAACAGGTCATATCAGGTGTTAAGTGTAGGAGCAACCAAGATTGGGCACAGAACCCAAAGTGATTCTATGGTGAGGTACGACTCGTAGCCCATGGAAGCAACTGAGGAGCAGGAGGGCTCTCTGCCTGCTTCAGGGAAGGGGCACTGTGTTTTTTGGTGAAGCTAGGGAGATGGAAGGGGCCACGTGTTCAGAGGTATCAGGAGCAGGAAGGGACATCAAACATCTGTTGATTATAGTAAAATGGTAAAGACCGTGAAAACCAGAACAGTATATCAAGGACCTGATTTTCAGCTCTTGAATGCAGAACCCTAGGGAAGAATTTGCTTGTCTTAAAGAGTAGTTATGTGAGACAGGATTTCTCTGCCATTTATAATGGTTACCCCTTTACAAATATTGAGGGCCAAGTGCACTGTTGCCCTGCACCTTGTGTGCCCATTTAAACTATCACAATGACTGCCCTGCACCTTTAAGTGGGGGGAGGGGGGGGAGTAATTTGGCTGGATGGCCGAGTGAACAGAACAGTGCTTTATGGCTTGGGGAGGGAATGAAAACTGTTGCAAAAAAGTCAGCATGGTCACTGATTCATCCCCTAGGAATGCAGAATTTAAGAGAGGCAGCTCTGGGCCTGAAGCCTCCCTTTTACACAGAGCAGTCTGAAGCAGGACCCATCCTCCCTCCTCTTTAGGTGGTAAAATACCAGGTTTGGTTTATACCTGCTGTGAGCATCACACTAGCCGCCCCTTTTTTAGGAGGGCTGGGAAGGAATTTTTCCCTTACCACTATATTGGTCTGGGTGCAGTTGGTTTTTTTTTTTTTCTTTTAAACCTTCCCCACAGTAGGTTCAGCCAGGGCTCTGTTCATGCATGGCATGATGAGCGGTAGGCTACATGTCGTAACTCATTATTTAAGTGTAGGGCGGATGTCCAGTGCAGGTACTCCATTAGAAAGCTATACAGTGACCAGATAAATGGCTTGGAAAAGGACTTAAAAAGAGGTATTCATTAAAGGAATGAACGAGGAGTGGTTGGGGACTCCTATGATTGGTACAGCAGGGAGCCAACCCCCATTAGCTCACCTTAACCCTCCATGAGGGGGATGGATGGTAAGTTCCTAGCAATGGATTTGCTGGAGGGACCTGGATGGATAAAGAGGGGGAGCTGGTAAAGCCCCCCAGGTAATTACAGAATAAACATGGGGTTACCTGCACTGTACACTTTTATCTGCTGGGTAGTTCCAGATACCTAATAATAAAGTTGCAGCCTGATTAAATCCATGTCAAATGTCTTCTGTCCTTTTTTCGGCATAGCCAGACAATGAGCTGCACAACGGAGCTCTTAGCAGTTCTATAAAGGTTAGTACTTTGGAAGCTATACTTAAAAAAAGAAAACACAGAGAAGCATCTTTTGTAACCAGAAGTATTAGATGCAAAAAAATAATCTTTTCTCTTTGAACAGTGGCTTGCAAACATTGTTAAGGCCATTTTAAATAGCATTCCTATAGTACTACAATAATTGCATAGTGTTCAGGAGTTCTCTATGTGGAAGGACTTTTTAAAAAGCGAACTGTGAACAGGAAACATGCATGGAAGACTTTGTTTCCCCAAAGATGAGGGAGAGAGAGAATTTGGCATTGAATGTTTTTATAGACTAGTAGGGACTTACTTGAGACAAAGCAGCATCCCGTTCTTCAATCACTGCATTCATTTCCTCAGCTGTTATTTTCTTTCTACGCTCCTTGGTCCTGTGTATTCGATCCACAATTATAGCTCCATTCTTCTGTATAGCTATCCCTGTGTCTGCATTGTTTATTCTGTTCAGTAATTCCTGTAATGTCTACCAACAGCATTATATGTTAGTCAGACATGAAGTTTTAATATATTTTATTTAATATAGGGTTTTAATTAATAGGCACATGTGAATTGTAAATTGACTGAGTGAAGTTATTGAATTTTCATATTGCAGCAAAGATGTACATTATTAGTGTGTCAATTCTTCTTTTTTCCCACATCTTAGTTCTTGAAACCCACTCAATTGAACTTAAGCCTCTAAGATATAAGACTGACATCAAGAAATCTCCTCAGAGAATGGCTTACCATGTCATTTTCTTCAGGGTTAATATTTTCTAGCCTAGAAAAAAGGGACACAGAAAGCCTGATCAGTAGCATTTCCTTAGTGCAGCAAAATGAGTTCGCTTTTTAAATCTTTAGAACCTCAAGTAATTTCATTCTTCTAGTCTTTAGAGTCAACCATGACACTGAACATATTAAAGTGCCACCTGCTCGACTCCATCTTTCAATAATGCTCCATATCTTCAGCACTGACTTCAGACTGTTAAGTTATTAATGTTTACTGCTATATATGACTACAAGGATCAATTGTTCATATGTGCTTAGATGAAGAAAGTTCCCTAGTGATAGAAAGCACTGGTGCTCTTATTTTATTTATTTCTGGACTTACAACTTTAACCTGAAATTATATTCTTGTTGTCTTTATTGCACCCCAAAATGAAATGGGACAGTAGGTTGGGGGGGGGGGAGGAGGGGAAGAAAGGGTTGTTTTAACAAAATGTAGCTCTTCCCCTCCACCTAGGAGGACAAACATTATAGTTAAACCTCACTTAGAAATTTTGTTTTATCCCATCATAAAATACAGGAGTTAATTTAAGCCTCCGGTGGTGCGCTGCCTTAATTCTGGAACAAAAATATTGAACTCTTTCTTTCCTTGTTTCGCTGGCACATTTACTCACATGTAAAGAAGCAATAAACAGTTTTACAGTTTTGCCGAACAACTACAATTGTGCTCTGCAACAGCAATGAGTAATAGCACAAATTTCTGCATACAGAGGTGATTAAACAGGAAATTACACTTTTTTCTATAATAATTAAAAAGTTAATTATAATTAATATCTAAACATCTTATTATTTACAGAACATTTGGGGGTCCAAAATACAGAGATTAACACCTTGTTAAAAATAAGCTTAAACATTAAAGAAGTGCAGCCTCACCCAGTTCATAGATACTTAAGCAAGTGGTGGCTCCAGCACATACTAAGTAGCTTAAGAAAAAGCAGTTCTGGCAGAGGCTGTAATGTAACATTTCAAAAACAGATACTGTAATCATCAAACTTCCAGTGTCTGCCAAAGAACTAGGTGTAATTTGTACTGTGATGCTGTTGTCAGAGATCACCCTTCAAACATCCCTCTGCCACACAGCAATTGACAGTGTACTAACCCTGTGCCTTTGAATGCACTAGTCTTCATGACCCTAAATATGGTATAGCCTCTTATGCACACGAGGCTAGGAAATCAACCCATTCTTGCCATCTGACCTTTGACATTTAATACTAGTGCAGTTACCTAGTATGGTGATTAGTGAATTTCCTCTGTGCTTTTTGATCAATTTGTACAAGTTCATAGTCAGACAAAGCCACCTGAATTCTTGTAATCAAGGGAAGCAATTCAGAAAGGAATGCTCTATTGCTGCTGTATAGTGGAACACATTTATTTGGGAGGTTCTGAGCAGATGGTATTCCCAGCATACCCCAAAACAGTAAATATGTGGTGAGTAGGTTTGAACCTTACCTCTTTGATGAGATTTGACCTTATTAACAAGTTTACACACAAAATGTAAACTCCAGCCTGAACTCTCACTCCTAGCTTGGTTATCCCTAGAGTTCCTCCTTTAAAACAGATCAGTCCAAGTCCCTAGATTCCTCTGACTAATGGGGCCACCATCATTTCAAGAGCAGGCAAATGATCTACACCTGCTACTGTGAGTCAGCAGGGTTCAACTGGCATTTCCCTATGCATTTCCAACACTGCTAACAGGGTGGGGGTCAACAGTAGAACCCAGCCAACTAGAAGGAAAAAATGAGTATTATTACCCTTTGTGGATAAGGCTATCTCCTAGATCTGATTTTGGGCCAGAGTTATGGGCAGTGATACTTAAGAAACTTGTAAAACTCAATTGACTAACAGAGCACACATTAAAGGCAGCCATACTATTGCAAAGGGATCTAGTTTTATTTTAACCCATTGGCAAGTGGCATTTCTCAGCTTTATTCTCTAATACAATCATCAAGTATAAACAACAAAGCATGAATGCAAATTGCCAACTCTCAGTACCAAGAGGTTGAATACAAATGTAGAACAATAATGGGGGCATTTCTGTCTGGAAAAATGCAGGTTGTTTACTGTGTAAAAATCAGCAGCTCCACCAAGAAAAAAATCTGTAAGGGAAGCTTCATGAGAATAGTTTTTCTAATTAAGTCTTTCCTACCAGTTATCTCTGATACAGAAACCACATTTAACTCTAGGGGATTAGAGTAAGAAAAAATGCCTATTGCTTCAGCTAATAAAAATACCCACAGAGAGGCAGATATCCATTTTGCCCCAGAGAAAAGAAACAGTTAATGAGGTTTCCTACTAAAGTCAAATATTTAAAAAATAGCAACTAAGTACAATGCAAAATCTATTGTATTTACTTTATGTGGTACAACACTTACAGATACTATACTTGCTACTGTGAAATACTGTCTGTTCTCAGTGATACAACATATTGTGGGGATGAACTCAAGTTGCAGCACAATTTCCAGAATTGTGAACATTTGGAACAATACACAATTCTCGTTCTGCAAAGAAGGACCAATCCTAGGGCTCAGAGTGGGGAAATAGAGTCAGATATATCATCTTGATATTCTTTACCTGCCTGATACATGGAGCCCTTTAGTGGCTTCATAGAAACAGACATGCTTAGGGCTCTCTCTAGCTCCCTGGAGCAGTGGTTCCCAACCTTTTTCTGTTAGAACACCTCTCTACTGCCAGTTCAGCAGATGTCATCTTTCCTTTCTCTCTGGCTATTTTCTCTCACTTCTCCTTTCTCAGGTGCTTCCCCCCCCCCCTTCTTATCTCTCTTTTCTGTATACTTTTTCTTTATTTCCCTTTTTAACTTATTGCTCTTTTATATGTGCTTTGCTGGCTCTTCTTCCCTTATGCCCCCATACCCTCCTCCTTTCTAGTACTCTGTTCCCCTTCCCCATATCCCCTCGCACCAGTAGGGTGACCAGACAGCAAGTGTGAAAAATCAGGACAGGGTGTGTGTGGTAATAGAAGCCTATAGAAAAAAAAGACCCAAAAATTGGGACTGTTCCTATAAAATCAGGACATCTGATCACCCTACACACCAGAAGCCTTTATGCTGCTGTTGTGAGAGTTGTCTGTTGGTGAAACCCAGGGCTGAACAAGAGCCATGAAAGGAGTAAAGCTGCTGCCTGAGCCTGACACTTGGAACTGTACACAAGCTGCTCTTGCAGCGTGCTCCATTGGAGTCCACAACAGAAGCAAAGAGGGAAGGGGAATGGCTTATAAGAAGCTAACTATTGTTTCATCTTCAGATGCAGCAGCACATTTGCAGAGAGAGAGAGAGAGAGGAAGAGTGAGTGTGTATTGGGGGGTATCTGGGTCCTGCATCTTTCTCCACCCACACTAGACCTCTGCATTCATAACAATGTAAGAATGGTAACACTGCATCAGACCAATGGTCCACTGATCCCACTCTCCCATCTTCTGCCAGTGGCCAGTGCCAGATGCTTCGGGGGAATGAAAGAACAGGGCAATTTATTGAGGGATCCATCCCCTACCATCGTGTCCCAGCTTCTGGCAGTCGAGGTTCAGGGACATCCAGAGCATGGTGTTGTGCCTTTAGTTTGAACCTCTATTATGGTGTTTTTAAGAAGTTTCCATACAGCTTGCAGGGATTTCATTCATGACTGTTCCTTTAATTTCCTCCTCATTTTTGTGTAGTTCCTCTTTTTGAAGTTAAATGCTACTGTGGTGGGTTTCTTTGGTATTTTCCACCCTACAGGGAGGTTAAGTTTAATTACATTATATTTGCTATTACTAAGCGATTCAGCTACATTCACCTTTTGGACCAGATCTTGTGTGCCTCTTAGGACTAACTCAAGAATTGTTTCTCCCCTGTGGGTTCCAAGTCTAGCTGCTCCAAGAAGCAGTCATTAATGGTGTCTGGAAATTTTATCTCTACATCCTGTCCTGAGGTGACATGTACCCAGTCAATATACGGATAGTTGAAATCCCCATTATTGAGTTTTCTGTTTTTGTAGCCTCTCTGATCTCCCTAAGCATTTCCCAAACGCTGTCACCATCCTGGTCAGGTGGTCGATAGTATCTTTCTACTGCTATACTCATATTAATCCAGCATGGAATTGAGATTCTATGGAATAGTTTGATTCATTTAAGATTTTTACTATGTTTGTCTGTATGCTTTCCTTCACATATAACACCATTCGTCTAAATGTATCGGTTTCAATAAAACTTTTGTTGGGATGGGTCCTCAGGTCCAGAATGCAGTTTCTGGTCTCTCTCTCTTCCCCCCCCCCCCCCCCCCCCCCCCCAGCACTCTCCTGGGATGCAGGAGACTCAGGTTCAAGTCCCTGTTCTGCCTCTGGCAGTCTTTCCCACATCTCAAGTGAGTGCCCTAATCGCTAGGCCTTAGATCCAGTCTCTCAATTTGTCCTGTTGGAGCTGTTCCATCTTATATAAATATTTAAATATTCATTGGACAAGAATGTATCACAGCCTCTCTCATGTTCTGATTCATTCCTATGTCGACCAAAAACCAAGTTAAAAACCATGAACATTTTCATGAAATAGAAGTCTTGTTTTCCAGCCAACCCTAGCGCTCATACTCTGATGCTAGGTTGTCTTCTCAGAAAGACAGAGGCCCCAGGGGCAGTGGCGATATAGGACCCTAAGAAACCCTTAAAAAAACCCTGGCTTTTGGAGTCTAGCCTGGGGGTCAGCAGTAGTGGGAGAGGAATCTATATGAACATAACATAAGAACATAAGAATGGCCATACTGGGTCAGACCAAAGGTCCATCCAGCCCAGTATCCTGTCTACCGACAGTGACCAATGCCAGGTGTCCCAGAGGGAGTGAACCTAACAGGTAATGATCAAGTGCTCTCTCTCCTGCCATCCATCTCCACCCTCTGACAGACAGAGGCTAGGGACACCATTCCTTACCCTTCCTAGCTAATAGCCATTAATGAACTTAACCTTCATGAATTTATATAGTTCTCTTTTAAACCCTGTTATAGTTCTAGCCTTCACAACCTCCTCAGGCAAGGTGTTCCACAGGTTGACTGTGCACTGTGTGAAGAAGAACTTTCTTTTATTTATTTTAAACCTGCTGCCCATTAATTTCATTTGGTGGCCCCTAGTTCTTACATTATGGGAACAAGTAAATAACTTTTCCTTATTCACTTTCTCCACACCACTCATGATTTTATATACCTCTATCATATCCCCCCTTAGTCTCCTCTTTTCCAAGCTGAAAAGTCCTAGCCTCTTTAATCTCAATCCCTTTTTGAATGATTCCTAACATCCTGTTTGCTTTTTTGACTGCTGCTGCACACTGCGTGGATGTCTTCAGAGAACTATCCATGATGACTCCAAGATCTCTTTCCTGATTTGTTGTAGCTTAATTAGCCCCCATCATATTGCATGTATAGTTGGGGTTATGTTTTCCAATGTGCATTACTTTCCATTTATCCACATTAAATTTCATTTGCCATTTTGTTGCCCAATCGCTTAGTTTTGTGAGATCTTTTTGAAGTTCTTCACAGTCTGCTTTGGTCTTAACTATCTTGAGCAGTTTAGTATCATCTGCAAACTTTGCCACCTCACTGTTTACCCCTTTCTCAAGATCATTTATGAATAAGTTGAATAGGATTGTTCCTAGGACTGACCCTTGGGGAACACCACTAGTTACTCCTCTCCATTCTGAAAATTTTCCATTTATTCCTACCCTTTGTTCCCTGCCTTTTAACCAGTTCTCAATCCATGAAAGGATCTCCCCTCTTATCCCATGACAACTTAATTTACGTAAGAGCCTTTGGTGAGGGACCTTGTCAAAGGCTTTCTGGAAATCTAAGTACACTATGTCCACTGGATCCCCCTTGTCCACGTTTGTTGACTCCTTCAAAGAACTCTAATAGATTATTAAGACATGATTTCTCTTTACAGAAACCATGTTGACTTCTGCCCAACAATTTATGTTCTTTTATGTGTCTGACAATTTTATTCTTTACTATTGTTTCAACTAATTTGCCCGGTACGGACATTAGACTTACCGGTCTGTAATTGCCGGGATGACCTCTAGAGCCCTTTTTAAATATTGGCGTTATATTAGCTATCTTCCAGTCATTGGGTACAGAAGCTGATTTAAAGGACAGGTTACAAACCATAGTTAATAGTTCCACAATTTCACATTTGAGTTCTTTCAGAACTCTTGGGTGAATGCCATCTGGTCCTAGTGATTTGTTACTGTTAAGTTTATCAATTAATTCCAAAATCTCCTCTAGTGACATTTCAATCTGTGACAATTCCTCAGATTTGTCACCTACAAAGGACAGATCGGGTTTGGGAATCTCCCTAACATCCTCAGCCGTGAAGACTGAAGCAAAGAATTCATTTAGTTTCTCCGCAATGACTTTATCGTCTTTAAGTGCTCCTTTTGTATTTCGATCGTCCAGGGGCCCCACTGGTTGTTTAGCAGGCTTCCTGTTTCTGATGCAGTTAAAAAGCATTTTGTTATTACCTTTTGAGTTTTTGGCTAGCTGTTCTTCAAACTCCTTTTTGGCTTTTCTTATTACATTCTTGGGACTGTTTATGCTCCTTTCTATTTACCTCACTAGGATCTGACTTCCACTTTTTAAAAGATGCCTTTTTATCTCTCACTGCTTCTTTTACATGGTTGTTAAGTCACGGTGGCTCTTTTTTAGTTCTTTTACTGTGTTTTTTTAATTTGGGGTATACATTTAAGTTGGGCCTCTATTATGGTGTCTTTGAAAAGTGTCCATGCAGCTTGCAGGGATTTCACTCTAGTCACTGTACCTTTTAATTTCTGTTTAACTAACCTCCTCATTTTTGCATAGTTCCCCTTTCTGAAATTAAATGCTACAGTGTTGGGCTGTTGAGGTGTTCTTCCCACCACAGGAATGTTAAATGTTATTATATTATGGTCACCATTTCCAAACGGTCCTGTTATAGTTACCTCTTGGACCAGACCCTGTGCTCCACTAAGGACTAAATCAAGAATTGCCTCTCCCCTTGTGGATTCCTGTATCCATTTTCATTTAAAGTATCGAGAAATTTTGTTTCTGCATTTCGTCCTGAGGTGACATGTACCCAGTCAATATGGGGATAATTGAAATCCCTCACTACTATTGAGTTCTTTATTTTGATAGCCTCTCTAATCTCCCTTAGCATTTCATCGTCACTATCACTGTCCTGGTCAGGTGGTCAATAATAGATCCCTACTGTTATATTCTTATTAGAGCATGGAATTACTATCCATAGAGATTCTATGGAACATGTGGATTCATTTAAGATTTTTACTTCATTTGATCTAGTCTTGTAACCAACGAGTTTGTGCTTGACAGACCAGTCTGAGACAAACAAAACAGAAGGAGATGAGAACAATAATTATGAAGAAACAGCATTCTGGGTTCTGGTCTGTCCTGGAATGGGAGTAGTTAAGAGTGTGTGTGTGGGTGTGTGTGTGCGTGCATGAGAGCATGCACATTTGGGTGGGAGGAAGGTGGAAATTGTTGGGCAAATGAGAAATAAAGGGCAAGCTAGAGAGGATGTACTGGGGAAACAGGGAAAAGGAGAAAATTAGGGGTGGGCAAGAAAGTGAGGAGAGGAAACAGTAGAGGAAGAGAGAAAGAGAAAAGAGAACAAAAAAGATAAAAAAAATAAAGGAAAAGAGAAAGAGAAATGAGAAATTGAAATAGTTCTTCCTAAATTAAGAATGACTTTTGCATAAAAGAGAAGGAGTAGGAGGGTAATGCACATAATTTTTTCCACACTTCCATTGTAATTAGTAGATATTTTGCTAAAAGAAATGTCTAGTGGGCTCAAAGATTCAATTGATTTCCTATAGAGTGCAACTTCTGACCGACAACCTTGTACTCCATGTGAAGAAACCCCTGTATGAAATGTCACACTTCCCTGATTTATCTCTGAATAAATCAATAGTGGATCTTTTTCTTTCTTTCTTTCTGCAACCAGAATCATTCACCTCGTTCTCCATCTGGGGAGAAAAACATGACCTCGTTTGATCATGTTTTTTTTTTTTAAACCTACACATACAGCTGGAATATTGAGACTATTGCTGTCCTCTTACATTCTATCACACTGAAATTCATGTTAAGATTTACCACATGTTCACTTTTGAGTTCTATTAGGTTTCCCTTGGCTTCCAATAACAGTCATCTTTTTACACATAGCAGAAAAAACATACATACTCTTTAAGAGACTGCTCCAAATGCTTGGCTCGAAGAAGTGCTTCATCTCGCTCTTCATTGGCTAACTTAAGTCTAGCCATGACAGCTTCATCACGTTCTCGTTGAGCAGTATAAACTTCTTCCACGAGTGCTGCAAAAATGACCAGCGTGTTTAGCACAGCTTTAGTTGTATCCTCACATGGGGCCCTATCTAATGTCTATTGAAATCAATGGTTTTTCCACTCACTTCAGTGTCCTTTGGATCAGGTCTTGACTGTACTTCCTATACATAACATTTGCTAATGTGAAGATACCATAACAAGATTTTGCTTTACAGTTTTGAGAATATCAAAGTGCTATTGCTAGTTAACATACCTAGAGGAACAAGGAAGGGACAAGGTTTCAAGATTGACCTTCAAACTCATCACACAGAACAAGGAAACCATCCCTTGTGTGAAACAGTGACTCTGAATATAAAGCTAATTCCTAATGCTCACATTCATATCAGATATAACTAGACCCCTTCTCTTACAGCAAGACATCAGATTAAGAGAAAGGATCTCCTGAAGTTGCTTTTAACACCACACTTTAACCAGCCCCAAAGTGGTGCACAATTTAGCTCTTGCATGGTGCCTCTCTGGTATTACAAAGATAACATGGTCAGCACCCCTCTCTCCCTACCCCTCTCTCCCTATCAAGCCTTTACTTTATTGTTAATATATCATTCTATTATCTGTTAAAGCATTCAGGGACCTTTGAGCATTAGGTGCCAATAAACTAAGATTTACTGTTAGTTTGCTCCCAAGGACAGAAACCTTGAAGTCATTCTTCACACTGGGCTTACTTTTTCTTCCTACATCTCTCTTGTCAACATGGCTAACACCATCTCTGGTACACCGTCAGAATCCCTACCTCAACCCTGCTTCTGCTAAAATCTTTATTCACACACCTTCATCATTCCCCCTCTCTAATATTGCAGATCTCTCTTTGCAGTCATCCTAAATCCCTATTCTCAACTTCAGGGCACTCAGGATGCTGCAGTGAGACTACTTTTATTCCAAGAAGAAGGACTATATCCTCTACCATTGGCACTGGAATTGAATCTCCGAATTCAAATCAAAATTGTTTCCCTTGGGTTTCAAAGTTCTCCGTGGGCCCCTTTCACTCTAATGAACTAATCTTTAATTCACATAGTTCCCCTGCACCCAATTCTGACGCCTCCAAATGCTGGCATGTTTTCCAGTATTCTCAAGATTCTGCTGAGTCAAAGGCTATTGCATTTGTACTTCCCCCTCTATCTGGAATTCCCTCCCATTCTCTGAATCATGGATGAGTCATTTCCTTTCTTCAAGACTCACCTTAAATAGATCCTGTTCACTTTAACCTAGAGCCAACTCTGCTGCTTTTTCTATCTTAGTTTCCTTTTTCCTGCTTTACCTTTGTGCATTATTATGATGTCTGTATTAAAGTGGCTCTATCCAATTTAATATAAAGCTCTTTACCATACTTCATGGGAATGGCACTATATAAAATTGTAATTATATTTTATAATACACTTTTTGTTTACTACTGTACTTATATCATTGATACCAAATAAATACATTTAAAATATTTACAGAAAATATTCAAAAGACAAACTAGCAATAAAATGTCACTGCAGTCAAAAGTACCAAAACAAACTGTTGCTCATGACTAAATTTTGTTGAGAAAATACCCCATGATGAAATGTCATTTTTTTAGTTATTTTTCAGAAGTTTTAATTTTATCCATACAGATATATTCAAATACAATGACAAGTAAAACAGCAAGACTATGGATTTAACAATATCACAGCATGAAATATTCATACATAAATACTCCTGAGTGTTACAAGATAAATGATTCCTTAACAACCTCCCACCACAAAACTAAAAAAGGGGAGAAGCATCAGATGCCTAATCTACCTGGATTCAATTGTAATACTCTCATGAAAGACCAAACATCTTCATAGTTGGATCTTATGTCTCCATAGATTAATGTCAGTTTTTCCAAGAGGGTGGTGTTGGTTTGGTCAGTTAGCCAATCAAAGAATGCAAGGGGAAGAAGCTGATATCCATTTTCATAAAATGACTCTTTTGGTCACTATAAGTGCTGCAGCAATTCATTTCCTAGCATTACTCGAACAGGGAATATCTAGAACGCCCAAAACACAGAGACTTGACATAGGGGAAACTCCTACCCTGGTCACCTTAGATAGAGTATCACAAATGCCACGCTTTCTATAGTTCTGCCTACTGTGACATTAGGACTGTTCAATAAATGAAGTCATTTGAAGGGTTAACCACAAAAATATCAAAACATTTGGATGAAAATGTAGTCTATACAGTGAATATCCTTTAGCTTGCAGATTCCTTGATCCCTTCCACGAGCAGCTTTGGCAGCTGAGAGATGTAGTTCACTGGGGGAAGGTGTGGAAGAATGAATCCTGACAGATCATAAAGAAAGGAATTCTGGGTATGAAATACTTCTGTCACCCCTGTAGCAGAACCAGAAGCATTACTGGAAAGTGGATGAAAGGAGGAAGAAAGATGTGATTTTTGTGCTTCTGAGGGTAGGGCAAGAGGGCCAATCTAATAGGCTGGATGAAGGAGAATGGGGACAGCTACACAAATTGCTTCTAGGGGTATGGTCTACCCTCTTGTTCACTGTTGAAGAGGAGCCCTCTACTCAGTCACATTAGAGAGGTCACAGAAGATATGCCAAATTGTGTTTCTCGCAGGAAAATAATTTTTGTGTCATAAGAAAAACCACACCTGATTGTCCAAGAATATTCTGCCCAGATTTGGCGCATCCATCAAATACTCATTTAGATATCTTCAACCTGAATATTGTTTGGTGGCGAGAGGAAAAGAATTTTTCTGCTGCAGATGGATGTAGAGTTTGGGAGGGACACAACACCAGAAGCTACCTACCTCTTTGTGAGACGATATCCTTGCTATTGTGCAAGGGATAAAGTTAGGTGGATGGGCAGAGCATGCAGCTCCAGAACTACACACGTGATTTGGAGATAAAAGAATTAGTAGCACATGCAGAGAATGATTCTGACATCTGGACAGCTGTCTGGCGCAGATAAGCACTGTGTCCTTACACCTATCAAGTTTCCAAAGGGACATAAGATTTCTGAAATTTGTGATGCCATCATGGTGCCAACTGAAGAGGCCTACATAAGAGCCTCTGTGTCTCAGCAGTGCCTGGGTAAACTGTAACAAAACTGCTATGTCCCAGATAGATCTGGGATATACAGGTTGGTTAGTTTGACATGGTAAGTATTATCTGTCTGTACCATAATGTGTCTGTTTATCCTGGAGTGGAATTCCACAATTCTCCCACTTTTAGCCCAGGCCCTGGCCCACAGTATCCTGTGTATCAACTGTGCTAACTCAGCAGTCTGATTGGCTTCAGCATCTGCTGTTCTTCCCTTTGGGGGTCTCTGACCAGTGGTGTATAGTTACCAGATAGACTTCTTAAACCAAAATACTGGTTATTTTAACAGTAGGAACAAAGCATTTAGATAAAAAAGATTTTAAAACAACAAACAGAATCCGCATGCCTATCTTACCTAAAGGCTTACCATCCTATGATGGTAACCTTGGCAGGCCTAACTTCTTCAGACCCGCCAGCAGGGTCCATGTGTTTCAGTCAGGTTCCTCCAAAGAACTTTCCCCCCGTCCCTCCTCCCCCCGAGAGAGAGACCCTTTTAAACTGTCATACTTCTTTTCATCTCCAGTATTCCTGGGTCTTTTTCTGTCCTGGTATTGTCTCTTAACAATCCTCAAATGTTTGTGTAGATGTGGCTTATCTTGAACCATTTTTTTCCTTTCAGATCCCTATTAAACTAAACCAATATATTCATACAGTAAACATCCCAATAACTATGTCAACATACAGTATTAATAAATTATTACAGAGCAGCTCCAAATCTGTCACAACAGTGCTTTTTTAAAGTAATACAACATTTTAACTTTTTCTTATTAAAAGAAAAGTTATTTGGAAAATCAAAGAAAAAGCATGTATAAGGCTGGCTAGCCTATCCAAGCTAAAACAGAGATGGACTCTTAGCAGCAGGCACCCTCAGAAACCAGAAAAAAATGTGTTACAAGGTAAATCCTTGAAATCAGCAGAGTTCTTGCTGAACTCACTTGGCCGGTTGTAGAAGCCTTATCTGCCATCTGCCAGATTCCTCTGCTGGCCAGATCATCTACTGATTCTACATACATATTTTCATGTTCAACATGTACATTCATTTCTGACAGTATCTGACCATTTTTAGTATTTTAGTATCTGACCATTTCATACATGTAAAAAGTTCTAAAATTATATCAATATTTCTTTTTAAAAATCCTTTCATTTCATACAGGGTGCAATTATTACAGTAGCTAAATGGGCTGAGAAATTTATTTTCACAGCAATAGTCAACATTTTAAAGAGTTATTGATATGTCATGTATAGAAGTACAGTCCCACTCCTACAAGCTACTTGGCAGAGGCAACAGAGGGTCCTGTGGCACCTTTAAGACTAACAGAAGTATTGGGAGCATAAGCTTTCGTGGGTAAGAACCTCACTTCTTCAGATGCAAGTAATGGAAATTTCCAGAGGCAGGTATAAATCAGTATGGAGATAACAAGGTTAGTTCAATCAGGGAGGGTGAGGTGCTCTGCTAGCAGTTGAGGTGTGAACACCAAGGGAGGAGAAACTGCTTCTGTAGTTGGATAGCCATTCACAGTCTTTGTTTAATCCTGATCTGATGGTGTCAAATTTGCAAATGAACTGGAGCTCAGCAGTTTCTCTTTGGAGTCTGGTCCTGAAGTTTTTTTGCTGTAAGATGGCTACCTTTACATCTGCTATTGTGTGGCCAGGGAGGTTGAAGTGTTCTCCTACAGGTTTTTGTATATTGCCATTCCTGATATCTGACTTGTGTCCATTTATCCTCTTGCGTAGTGACTGTCCAGTTTGGCCAATGTACATAGCAGAGGGGCATTGCTGGCACTTGATGGCATATATAACATTGGTGGACGTGCAGGTGAATGAGCTGGTGATGTTGTAGCTGATCTGGTTAGGTCCTGTGATGGTGTTGCTGGTGTAGATATGTGGGCAGAGTTGGCATCGAGGTTT